TGCTGGCGGAGCTGCGGGGGTTATGCTGCTCCTTCTTGAAATGACCTCGGCAAAAATACTCGGCTGATCTCGGTATAATCTCAGTGGCCTTTAATATTCTCATAACTGAAAATTCAGCGTCTGAGGTTTTGCTTTGTGTGTATTGCACCAACCCTTCCCTTCTCCCTTCGTACACGCGTGCGTGCATGCGCAGACTGATGTGAATAAAAACTTCATTATACTTCCAAAGCAAAGTTAAGCATAGATTAGGGTATTACCTTAGTACATGAGAAGACCTTGCAATCACTGAAGTTGTATTGATCAATTCAGGAGTTCCTTCCTCTGTAGTATAACAGCAAATACCATAAGGGCATTCTGCTTTTGTATGTCTTTTCTTTCTGTGAATATTTACATTATTTAAAGGGCAGCAAAGAGGCAAATAAGAAACAAATTTTGTCAATGAGAGAGTCACTGACGAGATCTGACTAACCTAAAATGCTTTAGATTGCATATGTTGAAAGCAATTTTGTGCTATGTGCAAAGTTTCATTATTTGTGCATTCTTATTCAAAACCTGTCTGTAGTGTCCAGGCTCTTCTAATATCTTTTCAAAATAGTGTAGTATGGAATAGAATATTTCAGTCGGAAGGGACCTACAACGACCACCTAGTCCAACTGCCTGACCAGTTCAGGGCTGACCAAGTTAAAGCATGTTACTAAGGGCAGCATTTTTTCTTTTACGAAAACCAAAATTCTATGTAACTCCCAGGATAATTAGTGCCATTTTATACATTCATTTGAATGACATGTTGTCTTGTTCAAACACAACTGTCTTTTCAACCTTATTTCTCTGTCAGCTTCAAGATGATTTTTTGATAATCCAATGGCAATGAAATCGACTAGGATATTAAATATATTGAAATATAGCTGAACTAAACCAAATGCAGCTAACAATTTTTTTTAATAAAATCTTTGAAAAACAAATGCACTTTTTGTCTAAGAAGTATGTCTAAATTCTGTACTGCAGTACAATGCAGAGATAGATACCTTATCCATTTTTCAGTGAATTAATTTATGGGCGCCATAATTAGGTTGAGCACACGGTACTCAAGGTGAGGCCGCACCAATGCTGAATACAGCGGGACAATCATCTCTTTTCACCGGCTGGGTATACTGTGTTTGGTGCACCCCAGGATGTGGTTTGCCCTCTTGGCTGCCAGGGCCCACTGCTGACCCATATTGAGCCTGCTGCCGACCAGCACCCCCAGATCCCTTTCTGCAGGGCTGCTCTCCAGCCCCTCCTCTCCCACTTTGTACTTGTGCCCGGCGTTACTCAGTCCCGGGTGCAGCGTCCGGCATTTCAACTTGTTAAATGTCGTGCCATTAATCATTGCCCAGTGCTCCAATCTATCTAGATCCCTCTGCAAGGCATCTTGTCCCTCGAGAGAGTCAACAGCACCTCCCAGTTTGGTATCATCAGCAAACTTGCTAATGGTGCATTCAACTCCTGCATCCAGATCGTTGATAAATATATTGAACAGAACTGGCCCTAGAATTGAACCCTGAGGAACACCGCTGGTGACCAGTCGCCAGCCAGATGTACAATTCACTGTACAATTCAGCCCCATTCACTACAACCCTTTGAGCCCCACCATCCAGCCCATTCTTCACCCAGCACACTGTGAACCTGCTCATCGCACAGTTGGACAACACGTCCAGAAGGATGCTGTGAGGGACGGTATCAAAAGCCTTACTAAAATCCAGAAACACTACATCCACCGCCTTCCCTTCATCCGCTAGGCGGGTGACCTTATCATAGAAGGATATCAAATTAGTTAAACAGGACTTTCCCTGATGATTGCGTTATTCTTTAAATGTCTTTCAACAGCACCCAGTATAACCTTCTCCATAATTTTTCCAGGAACTGAGGTTAGACTAACAGGTCCGTAGTTCCCTGGGTCTTCGTTCACGCCCTTCTTGTAGGTTGGAATAACATTGGCTAGCTTCCAGTCAGCGAGGACCTCCCCAGACTCCCAAGACCTTTGGAAGATACCTGTACGTGTATCTCTGTACATATGTTACTCAGCCATTTACATGGGCATTAAAATTCTTAGAGAGGTTATGGGTCCCTGTTTGATCTGTAATTTGTAAATGTTAGCAAAATATAACAATCTAAATTTATTGGATATTGGAGCTTAGATATTAGTTCTGAGGTGTTGTATTTACTGGTATCATTGTAAGAGGTTTTTGCATGCTGTGTAGCTAAGTTAAAAGTAGATGGGCTATTACATAAATATAGCCTATTTCTGATAAAATTGTGAATCGGGCTAGAGGGGACACAGTTATATTTCTGATGCTTGGATGTTAGATTCAGGTACGTATGCCAAAATAAACAGTGACTCAGTCAACAGCTATGTATCACTTAATATCTGTGCTTAATATCACCACCTTTAGACCTGCTGCAAAATTAATTTCCAGTTCCAGTCTTTCACATAATAGTAATAGTCTCATCTGTCTGTCTTTCTATGTCTTCTCTGCCTTATTGATTTAAAGAGAAAAGGGCCTGATTCCTTGTGGCAGAGAAAAAAGTAGGGATTTTTAATTCACTTTTCTAAGAAAACAGATCTCATGTAATTACCTTTTCTGGTGTCCTTCTCCCCCTAATAGCTTCTGAAGTTGTTGGCCTGTTACATTGGCAAAGTAGTAGAGGTCTCGTACATAATAATTCCACTCCTTTAAGATTTATGAAAGTAGGCAGCTAGGTAGAGAAGAGAAGCCTAGGCTACAACCTCTACTGAAAGCTGCAGTGCATCTGTATTAGGCATGAAAAGATGTTATGGGATTTCTACCTGATGGGAAGGCTTCCTTTGGGGCTTGCAGTCTACCAAATTCAGAATAATTTAACCACAATGTCACAGGAGATCAGTTGCTTTTCAGAGTTACTCAGTTGTTGTACTTTAAGTAGTCAAAGAGAGAAGAGAAATTCCAGAATTCACTACAACTTGAACAAAGCAGCACAACCCTTAGCACACCACCAGAATACTTTAAAAGACCACATAAAGCGTATGTTTATGTTAACTACAATTTTGGGAGTTAACTGCTACTTTGTAAATCTGCACTTTCTTTTACATCTCATCTAGAATTCCTTTAAATGACCCTGTTCTGTTATTTATAGCTATGTATTTCCCTGTGCGTATTTTAAGACGGACAGTCTCTAATTTCGTATCTGTCAGTTCGTCGTTGTTTAACCCCAGCCGGCAACTAAGCCCCACACAGCCACTCACTCACTCCCCCCCTGGTGGGCTGGGGGAGAGAATCAGAAGGGTAAAAGTGACAAAACTCGTGGGTTGAGATAAAGACAGTTTAATAGGGAAAGCAAAAGCCGCGCACGCAAGCAAAGCAAAACAAGGAATTCATTCCCTACTTCCCATCGGCAGGCAGGTGTTCAGCCAT